AGGAGGGAGGGCTGTTTGATGGGACAGATTGGGAATCATTAGTGTGTAGCTGTAGAAGGTTTTGTAGAATAGATACTACAAACTGGTGGCTCATGTCCTGTATTTAGCATTATGATACACTTTTGTTTTTATTTTGTGTGTGTGTGTGTGTGTGTGTGTGTGTGTGTCTGTGTGAGTGTTGTGAATTAGGGTCAGCAGTGAGTATTAGCTTTTACATGAAGATCTGAACTCTGGCTTCTTTTGAAATGAAATCATTTAGCAGCACTGCTCCCGTCTGTGTTCGGCAGCCGTGGTCTGAATCTGGAGAGTGGCTGCCCCATGAGATAGGGCATGTGTGTGGTCTGCAGTGTGCCACAGTCCTGCTGTTGCTGTGCCATTTGCACAGTGATTTCAAAGCACTGTACTTACCTCCTACTTAGTAGCACAGGCTTTGGACTCACTGCTTGCTGCTATAAAGTGAACTGAAGAGGTTCTAAAACCTAAGGAAGCATCCCAACCCCCCCATTTCAAGGGCAGGTAGAGGAGGAGGAAGCTGGAGGGTGGCTCTTGGCTGGTCTGACACATTAAGGAGGCATCCTTTTCAGGTCACCAGTAGCAGCTTCTATGGCTGAGGAGTGGGCAGAAGGAGATGGAGACAGGTTTCAAAACTTGTGTTGAGAAACCGTAGCACGAACTCAGCACACCAATCTGGACTGCTGATTTGGCTGGACTCTGGGAAAACCTTCATCATAAGCAGCAGAGATCTTGTAGAACAGTGAGGCCTCTGGAGAGGAGGAGTGAGAAAAGCCTAGAGAAATTGGATTGAAGCTGAATATGAACTGCTGTCCCTTTGCCAGGCACTGCACCTTATCTCATGTAGTTCTCGGAATGACCTTGTGGTGTTTGTATCTAGAATTTCCCTAGTTTTTGTATTTTTGAGAGAATATTTCAATACACAGTTTAGGCTGGCTTTAAACTCAATATGTAGCCCAGGCCAGTCTCGAACTTGCAGCAGTCCTTCTGCCTTAGCCTTCTGAGTGATGGGATTACAGGTATGTGCTACCACGCCCAGCTTTAGAATTGTCCTAGTTTTGAGACTTCGAGAGGTACATTTGCATGGCTGGTAAGTGGCAGAACTGGGATTCCAGTGTGGCTGTCACACTGAATGCCTATATACGCAGGTACTTTTACTCCTTGAGGACCTCCAATTGTATCAGCAGCTGAAAAGACATTTCTATACTCATTGAACTGCTATGGAACTTTTGTGAAAAAATCAGCTGGATATATTTTTAACTGGGTGTATTTTCTGGGTCTGTTTTTAGACTTTTTTTTCTGTTCTGTTAATGTATAAATTTGTCTTTTTTAGCAATAGCTCACTTGTCTGGATTATTGTAGCCTGATAGTAAGTCTCGAAGTTAATTAACTTAAGTCTCTAATTTAGCTCATTTAAAAAATTTCAGCTGAGCATGGTGGTGCACACCTGTAATTCCAGCACTTGGGAGGCTGAGGCAGGAGGAACACTGTGAGTTTGAGGCTGGCCTCTGCTACATAGTGAATTCAAGACCAGCATGAACTAAATTTTTTTTTTTTTTTTGTACTGGGGATTGGACTCAGGATCTTGTGCTTGCAAGGCAGGCATGGTGCCACTGAGCTAAATCCCCAGACCCCCCAATTTTTTTTTTAACTAGGTCAGCCAGATATCGTGGTGTAGTCCCTGCTACTTGGGAGGCTGAGGCAGGTGCATCATATATCTTAGGCCACAAGTTTAGATCATAAGTTTTAGACCTGGCAATTTAACAAGTGTCAAAATAACAGTTTAATGGGGTGGAGGATTTAGCTCAGTGACACTGTGCCTGGCTCACAAGCACAAGGTCATGAGTTCGAACCTTGGTATCAAATAGACAATTTTATCATAGTCTCCTTAAGTTGTCCTGTGGTCTTGAATTTATAGTCTTCCCGCCTTAGCGTCCTGAGTAGCTGGGATTACATGTGTACCCTACTGTACTCAGCCAGTCTCTTTATTTTTAAAATTGAAAAAAATACTTTTTTGGTGATACTGAGGGTTGAACCCAGGGCCTTCACAACGAGCTATGTCCTCAACCCTTTTTATTTTTAATTTTGAGATGGAGTCACTAAGTTGCCAGGTTGCATTTGAACTTGGGATCTTTTTGCCTCAGCCTCCCGGAGTGGTAGAATTACAGACATGTGCCACCATGCCTGATTTTCAGTTACAATTTTAAGACATTGAATGGACCAGCACTTTGTGATTCAGAATACTCTCCAGGCTGTCAGGCTGTGACTTCTGCCTTGGGGCATTTTGGGCTCCTCATTTTTATCACATGTAAACATGAAGTGTTGAAGGCAGTCTGTAATTTCATCCCAACTCAACAATTCCTTGTCTCCAAAGAAGAAAATATTAAAGCCTTTAGAAGCGACAATAGCTTGAGAAGTTGTCCAGGGCATTCCATTCTGCACATTACCATCCTGCCTTTTCTCTGAATCCTTCTATTATCTCTGTGTAGGAGGTGCTCAAACAACTTGACCATCCACAGGAGAGCTTTAGGTTACAAAGCCAGGCTTCTTCGTTCCAAATCTAGTGGTGTCTCTGTTTCTCTCTCTCTCTCTCTTTTTTTTTTTTGGTACTGGGGATCAAACTCAGGACCTTGCAGTCATGAGGTAGGCAGTGGAACCACTGAGCTAAATTCCCGGCCCTCTCTGTCACTTTCTTAAATCTAGTGCAGCAGGCTCTGAAGTCCCTGGATGCAAACCTTTGGTAGGTAAACATTTCTGGGGCCCAGGGGAAGGCAGGTCCCCAGGTGGAATTAGAATTCAGCTTGGAGGAGAGGAGAGGGGAAGCCTTTGTGACAGCTCTTTGGAGGCAGTAGTGTGGGATGTGTTCCTCTTAGTTCACCAATGCCTGGCCTTAGAAGCAAGAATCAGAGGGTTTAGTATTTACTTGTATGATTCTGGGGCTTGAACCCAGAGCCTTTGCACTGAACCATATCCTCATCCCTTTTAAAAATTTTTGAAATTGAGATAGAGTCTTGCTGAGTCACTAAGTTGGCCAGACTGGGATTGAACTTGTGATCCCCTACCTCGGCTACCAGAATGCTGAGATTACAGGAATGTGTCAAAGGCTTTAGATCATGGTGGTTGAGAATTTTGTCTAGAGAATTTCAAGGATAGAATCAAATGCTTCTGATATGTTCTTTTAGAATGTTAAGATTGGAAGCAGAGATAATTTAGTCTTATAATTTGGCTCATAGAAGAAAAGCTCACTGTGTTCTTGTATTTGATTCTGAGATCTAGGTTTTGATTAGTGTAATTGTCTCCTTGTGCAGTGTGTTTGAAAAGTCAAATACTGTGGTTATAAGGAAGTTAAAGACAGCAAAGAGCTTTGTATGCGTTTAAATCTTCCAAACAGATCCAAGTCCTTATCTTCTGGAAATGCACATTGCCTATATAGAGTGATAGCATGTCTGGGATTTCTTTCAGTGGGGCTTTGTGGGTATGGAGGGGTAAAGATGATGTAAGATTGGACTTAAATTGGTGATTATTGAAGCTGGAAGGTGGATAGATGGTTTCATTGTAGTCATCTATTTTGTATATATTTGAAATTTTCATCATAAATATTAAACGCAGCATTTCATTTCATAGGCTCAGCAGCACATTGGTTTGCCAGTCTTTTTGTGATTTTAGGAAGATCAGGGATGAAGTGGGCAAAGCACTACAGACAGCGCCAGATTGGGTGGTTTTTGTTATTATCAGACAAAGATGGAGGAATGAAAGGGTGAGAGTGGACCTCAATGAGACAGTGCCAAGGGCTATGTGACTGTAGAGATAATCCATTTTAGAAACAGACTGGACCACTTTGCGGTTTATAAGAACTATTACCAATTCACTGCCTTCAGAAAAATGAACTAAGGAAGAACTTATAAAAGAAAGGCTTATTAAATCAATGGGAAGGGCTGGGGATTTAGCTCAGCAGTTCGGTGGCCTGCCTTGCAAGTGCAAGGACCTGAGTTCAATCCCCGGTACCAAAAAAAAAAAAAAAAAAAAAAAAAAAAAAAATGAATGGGATACTATTTTATACCTGTGGACTTGACCTCCTTCAAAAAGCCTATATCCAGAGATTTAGTAATTTCTCTTTGGAATGTGCTCTAAGTAAGAAATTCTGAAGGAGAAATGTTAATGTAGCCATTAAAAGTGATTATGTAATGTCATTGAGACGGCTTATGATATAAACAGGCAAGATCCTACTTATGTTATGATCTCAAATATGCTATTATCACACATAATCATAAATGTTCAGTGGGGAAGAATATGGAGAAGTAAAACAGTTAATGTGCTAGGGTTGTAAATAGTAGCTTAATTTTTTAAAGAAACCCCTTTTTTGCAGGGTGCAGTACCAAGGATTGAACCCAGGGCATGAATCATGCATGCCTAGCAAATGCTCTATGACTGAGCTGCATTCGTAGTTTAAAAACTCTTTCATTGTTGTTAAAGATTGTACCTGAGCTGTGCATGCATGGTGGCACACACCTATAATCCCAGCACTCTGGAAGGCTGAGGCAGGAGGATTTGAGTTTAAGGCAGCCTGGACAATGTAGTGAGAAGTTGTCGCACACACAGAAGATGTGCTTGAATGCCTACACATACACATTCAAAGCTCTAGCAAGAGTACCTTATTGTCCATGGCATGTAGGACATTTGGAACGTGGGTAAATTCTTTCAAAAATAAAAGTAATCAAACACAAGAAATTACCAGAAATCTGAAGGTTATGATCATTTAACTAGAGAAGAAATTGAAAACAAAACTTTCATTCTTTTTTTTTTTTTTTTTTTTTTTTTTGGTAACAGGGATCAAACTTGGATATTGCACTTGCGAGGCAGGCGTTGGAACCACTGAGCTAAATCCCTGGCCCAAGACTTTCATTCTCTACTGAGAACACCAAGCTTTGGTGTGTCTTTCAGACTGGTGCTATCATCTGTGAACATTCTTGAAATTGCTTTTTTTCCAGGTTCAGTTTCAGAAGCTTCAGCAGCTGCGACTCACACAGTACCACGGAGGCTCCTTACCAAATGTAAGCCAGCTGAGGAGCAGCGCCTCGGAATTTCAGGTACCAACACATTGTACTTTCTTCAGGCTGGTGGAGTATAAAGAGATAGGTAAAGGTTAGCCCCAAAAGATTAGATTTTGAAGGCTAAAAAGGGGCTAGATACATTTCAACCTTCTGGGGAAGTCGGTCAGTGCTCACTTTCACAGTTTCTCTGCATTTCGCAGTTTCTGAAGTTTCAGAAATAGTCAGAGGCAGCACTATCACTAGAATATATAATGTGAAAAGCCTTCCTTATCATGTGTAAGGCTCTGGGCTTAATCTACAGCACTGCCAAACAAACTAACAGAAACCGTGTATTGTACATAATGTGAGTCACATATATAATTTATAATTTTTACTGCACTAAAGAATAATAAACTGCCGGGGATTTAGCTCAGTGGTGCCACCACCTGCCTTGTAAGTACAAGTCCTGAGTTCAATCACAGGTACCAAAAAACATGTACTAATAGGGCTGGGGATTTAGCTCAGTGGTGCCACACTTGCCTCGATAGCACAAAGGCCTGAGTTTAATCCCTGGTACCTCCCCCACAAAAAGAATAATAAACGGATGGAATTAATTTTCATGTCACTTAAGTAATTGAATAATTAAGCCAGTATGTACAAAATATGGTCATTTCAACATGTAACCAACATAAAAGAAATGATATATTTCACATACTTTTTTTGTACTGTTTCTGAAAATTTTGTGCAATTTATTTTGTGCGTGTGTGTGTGTGTGTGTGTGTGTGCGTGTGCGCAATTTATTCTTAAAGTACATGTCAAGTGGGATTGACCACACTTCACTAGCTTTGTGTGACTAATGGTTACCTCATGGTCAGCGTAGGCCTAAGGTGTAGATAAGTGGTCTAGTGCATTTAGATTACGGCAGTGTTGTTCAGTGCTTTAATCATTTACTTCAAGAGCCTTATTCAAAACAATGTGGAATCGGTGTTTCAGACAATGCTATCTGGTACTGTTGTGTTAAGATCTAAATTAAACCTAGTTTGGAATCCTGGTCCCTGGAAAATTAGGAGGTGGTCATTCTAATTACACAATTTAAGATTTGGTGTTAGAATTAGGATACAAGCTTAAAGATGAAGCACAACTTGATTTTTTGAATGCCTCTCCTAAAATCATGATTTTCTTTGTTTTAGAAACTGAGTTGTGGTGATATACAAAATACTTTGGAACATTTTATATTTTGGATTTTTAGATCAGGATGCTTAACCTATTAAATCTATGCTGTATTCCAAAATCTGAACAACTCTAAAATCTCACACCTTTCTGGTTTCAGATTTATTGGGTAAAGAATACTTGACCTGTACTTTTTTTCTTTTTCTTTTCTTTTTTGAGGCAGGCTATCAGGATATTGTGCTTGTGAGGCAGGCAAGGCACCACTTAGCTACATACATCCTGGCCCTCTTTTTTTTTTTGAGACAGGATCTTCCTATGTAGTCCAGGCTGGACCTTTTCTTTTTAACTTTGAAACAATCACAGACTTACTGAAAAGCTAGACATTTTAAGTATAAACATTTTTTCTTTGAGAGTAAATTGCTGAACTGATACTCTGTCACCCCATATATTTCACATGTATTTTCTTTTTTTGTATAAATATTTAAAAATAAATTTTATTTTATCCCATTCCCCAGCCCCCTCCCCTCCCTATATACAGAAGCTTTGTTTCCATTTTTTCCTTCTATTTTCACTTCATATGTATTTCTGCAAGTCCTCTCTAAGTAAATCACAGCCATCAACATCAACAAAATAACAGTGGTACATCACTATCATCCTCAGATCTCATTGTCCTGCTGCAGTTCTCTATAGCAAAAGACCCAGCTCAGAGCCACACATATTTAACTATAGTCTATAGTCTTCTTTAGTCTGGAATAGTTTTTGGGTCTTTTATTTATTTTTCTTTATTTTTGATGTTAAAAATTATTTTTGGCTTCTATGGCCTTGCCACTTTTAGAGGTTACAGGCCATTTATTTTGTAGAGTCTTCCTGAGCTGGGGTTTATCTATTTGTAGATGGATTTACATTGTGCCTCTTTGGCAGGAAGAACACGAAGTGATGTTGCTGTTGTATGTATCGCTTTAGGCATGGGGTTTAGATTTGTCCTATAATGATAAAACTAATGTGGCTCTTGTAGTCTTCTCCACTCTAAGGCCTCTCCCCGCAAAACTTTTGTGTACTGAGGATTGAACCCAGGGCTTTCTCATTTTTTATTTTGAGATGGGTCTCACTAAGTTGCCCAACCTGGACTCAAACTTGTTATTTTCCTTCCTCAGCCTCCTGAATAGCTAGTATTATAAGTGTGTGCCACCAGTCGTTTTTATCTTCATGCTCACATAATCCCTCCCTAGGCCAGTAGGAGCCCTTTTCCAAACAGAAACATTCTCAATAAACTAATGGAAAAAAGAATCCCAGAAGCACATTTTTTAAGTGAACTTTTTTGAGGTATAATTTATATATAGTATAATTTACCTTTTTATTTTTTTGTAGTATTAGGGATTGAACCTAGGACTTTTGCACTAAATTATATCCTTAGCCCTTTAACATTTTTTTTTTTTTTTTTTTTTTTTTTTTTTTTTTTATATTGAGACAGGGTCCTGCTAAGTCACTAAGTTGCTCAGGCTAGGCTTGAACTTGTGATTCTCCTGCCTCAGCCTCCCAGAGTGCCATCATGCCTGGCTCTGAATTTTTTTTTTCTAGTGCTGGGGATCGAACCTAGCACTTTGGGCATGCTAGGCACGTGCTGTACCACTGAGCCACATCACCAGCCTTGAATTATGTTTTAAAAGTACACAACTCTATGCCATAAAACCACCACCATATCAAGATATAGAACAGTTCCTTCACCACAGGATTTTGTCTTGAGTCCTGGATAGTTGGTCTCCACCCCACCTCCGGCCTCTGGAGAAGCCCTGGTCTGTAGTTTTGCCTTTTTCCTAGTGTCCTGTGGATGAGATTGGATGTATATGGTCTTCTGAGTGCTTCTCTCACTTAACTTCCCATATTTCAGATTCATCTGTGTTGTTGCATGTACATATTTGTTCTTGTGGCTGCTGTCAAAGTACCACAGATTTGGTGGTTTAAAACAACAGAAATTTATCTTCTCAGTCCAGAAGTGTAAAGTATCAGCAGGGCTGGGCTCTCTCTGAGGGCTCCGGGGAGGATTCATTTTTGCTTCTTTCTAGTTTTTGCTGGTTGCTACTAGGCCTTCGTTTGTAGCTTTGTCATCCAATCTCTGTCTCCCTTGTCACGTGGACTTCTTGCCCAGGTGTCTAAGAGCTTCTCTGCGTAAACCCTTCTTTCTTTTCTCTTATAGAGTCACGGGTCTTTGGATTTAGGGCTTACCCTAATCCAGTATGACCTAATTTTAACTTGATTACATCTGCAAAGATTCTACTTCCAGATGAGGTCACTCATATTCTTAGGTTTTGGGGTTAGGAGTTAAAACATATCTTTTTGGAGGGCAATAATTCAACCTACTACATTGTTCATTTCTTTTTATTGCTGTGTAATATTTCACTCTGTGTGTGTGTGTGTGTGTATGTATATATAATGTGTTTAGCTATTCGTTAGTTGATAGGCATTTGGATTGCTTTCCAGATTTGGCAATTATTATTAATATTATTATTTTTTAGTATCGGGGATCGAACTCAGGACCTTCTGCTTGCAAGGCAGGCGGTAGTACCACTGAGCTAAATCCCCAGCCCTTGCAATTGATAAATATATACATTCATATGCAATTTTTGTGTAAATACTTTGTAGTATAATTGCTAGATCATATGGTAAGTAAAGAAATGCTGGGGATGGAACCCAGGGTCACAGACATACTAGATAAGCCCTTTCAGTAAGCCACACTCCCAGCTCCCTTAACTTTTTTTTCTTTCACTTTTTTTTTCCTCATCTTTTTTTTATTAATGCACATTGATGACACAGTAATCACTTTCATTTTGGCAGATTCGTACGTACACATAATATACTATGATAATTTTCACTTCCCTACCACCCCTTTGCCCTGCCCCCTCTACCTTAGTTTCACATTTGGGAAGGGTTTTCAATTCATATGATGTACAAGGTATATTTAAGTTTTTTTAAAAAATTATGACAGTAAAAGACACATTGCCATGAATTCGCAAAATACTTCCCCTCTCTTAGAACACACTCATCCCATCATTCTTGCCATCTCTGAAGCAGTTCTGGAAGTCCTCTTTATTGAGTGAGTGCTTTTTCCTGTCTGCCAACATCCAGAATCAATTCAAAACATTTACAGCAATTTCTGTCAAATAAAAACATCACGATGTGTCTGCATCACCTTATTCACCAGATCTGGCACTATGCAACTTCTGACTTCCCCAAACTCAAAATGACCATGAAAGGTGTGAATGGATTGAGGACATTGAGGCAGCCACAACAGTGCAACTAAAGACATTCAGGAAGGAGAACTTCCAGAGCTGCTTTAGAAAGTGGCAAGAATGATGGGATATGTGTGTTTGATGTACGGGGGAATATTTTGAGGGGGATTAATGGCAATGTAATACATTGTAATACACATTTTTTTGGTACTGGGGATCGAACTCTGGACCTTGAACTTGTGGAGCAGGCAGCAGCACCACTGAGCTAAAGAACCAGCCCCACTGTAATACATTTTTAAAAACTTAAACATTTTTGATTACACCTCATATTTTGATCATATCCACCCCCATTATGTAGTCTACACCCCTTCCTTCTCTCTCTTCTTCCTTTTCTTTCTTTCTTTTCTTTTTGGTACCAGGGATTGAACTTGGGTCCTTGTGCTTGCGAGGCAGGCGGTGGAACCACTGAGCTAAATCTCTGGCCCTCTTCTTCCTTTTCTTTTGTCAAATAGTGTCTCTTCTGCTTGTTATCTTTTTTAGATTCCACATATTGGTCAGAACATGCAATATTTGTCTCTCAGAGTCTGGCTTATTCAATGTGATGATCTCTAGATCCATCTATTTTTCTGCAAATGACACAATTTTATTCCTCTTTATGGC